GGGGCCGGGGCGAGGCCCCCGCCTCCTGCTCCCGGAGGGGTGGGGGGCACCGCGCTGCCCCGTCGGGCCCTGGGCGGCAGGAGTCTGCTGGGGACCAGTAGGGCGATGACCGGGGTCCCGCTCTTGCCCCTACTGGCTCTGGCGGGTGCGCCCCAGCGACCCGGACGGGGACGACACCGCCTTCCTGGGCCCACCCGGACGCGGAGCCGAGCCCCTAGCCCGTAGCTGCCGTCTCGGCCCCGATGCTTCTCGGGCCTGGCCTTTACCGAAGCGCCCATGTTACCCCATTCGAAGGCCGAGGACATGCTCGGAGACGGGCTTGGGGGGTGTGCTGGGCGGGGGTGGCCGAGGGCGCCCCTCTCCTGCGGGATGCCTCATAGTTGCCATTGCTCTGACTGTGCCAGCTGTGTGGCCCCGCGCCGGGCCGGGCGTCCCCCGGCAGTCCCCAGCTGACTTCAGGGCCTGTCCCTGGCTCACCCTGACCCACCCAGATGCCCCGTCCGACGGTTGCTGTAGCACTTGGTCACTGCTGAATGGCGCAGCCAGCAGCACCCGCACTCTTAAGCTTGATGGGGGCCTGCCAGAAGCGCAGCTGTTGCCTCGGGTTCACCCAGACCTCTCCCTGACGAGCTCCACTCACAGGCTGGGAAAGCTCCCAGCCGTTTGCCCTCCACAGGGAGCCCGAGAAGATGAACCTGCCTGCGGGATCAGCTGGGATGAGGCTTCCTGGGAGACTTGGCTTAGGGTGATGGCACCCCGACCAGAACCACCATGGGTCCCGCCACACCAGGGCGTCCAGGGCCAAGGCCAGGCAGGCTAACAGGAAAGGAGGGCAGGGCTCGAAGGCCATTGCACACCGCGGCCGTGCCCTGTCTCGGTGGTGCCGCTGCCGTGGGGATTGCTCACTTTCAAGCAGCCAGAAATGTGGAGTTTTGTGTAAACCTCGTGACTGGGGCAGCAGCCCCAGTGGCCATCGGGAGAGCTCTGCCAGCTCTGTGCCTGCCCCGCATACCCCTGTGCCCCCAGGGTAATGGAGCCCAGCCCGAACACCTGCAGGGCCCCTTTCCTCCCGTGGCTCGAGGACCTGTTTAAACCCCCGTTGGGTTTGGTTGTGGGTTTAGGTGTGGGAGAACCCCTATGGGATACGACCTCATTTATGTGGCGCTCTGGAGCTGGGGTGCCTTGCTGTAGGGTGGGGTTTGCATAGAAGTGTCCAGAGCCTGGGAAATTCAGCCCTGAGCCTGTGGCCCAGCGTGTCCGGCGTCCCCAGAGGCCACAGCGCGGGCCGTTAGTTTTCTTGGATGGTTAAATGCCAGACTTGGACAGCTGTTCGGTTTTCACTTTCACCGCTCGCCTGCTCGCCACTCCACACGCACACACGTGCCACCGCCCCCACCCCAACACACACGTGGGTGGAAGCTTTGTCGCTGAAGTTAATGACTTGTAAACACAAGTCCAGACGGAGGAGCCAGTGTTGCGATTCTTTCTTGACTTCTCAAGACTTTTCCCTGGAGCTCATTGCTCATCTTTTCAGCTGGCAGCTCCCGCCCCAATTACGAACGACTCCCCCAACCTACTGGTCACACTACTCGGCTTCCTGTGGGTTCAAACAATTTTATCTTCTTGAAAGTAGATTGCAAGTGTGGCCGGCATCTTGGCATAGCCAGGGAGGCATGGGATATGGTGAAGCGAGCGACTGTGCCCCTGTCCTGGGCACCTGTCAGCTGGCGTTGGCAGCAGGAAGCAGGAGCATTTAATTAGGGTCATCTGAGAAGTCGTTAATGAAGGGCCTGTTTACAAAGCTGTGGGCAAGGAGCACTGGACCTCGAGACCCCATCCCGGGCGGCCTGCAGGAGAGGGTGCCCGAGGAGCTGCCGGCAGGGGCTCACCTGGGCAAGGGCTCACCTGGGCAGGGGCTCACCTGGGCAGGGGCTCACCTGGGCAGGGGCTCACCTGGGCAGGGGCTCACCTGGGCAGGGAGCTAGGCCTGATAATCCTGATGCTGGATGCTGCCCCCTCCCCCCTCCAAAGGAAGCCAGAGGCAAGGAAGCCTGCTGGTAGCTCATTTAGGGCAGGCCCAGGAGGAGATGAGCAGCAGGTGGG